AAGTCGTAATTCTTAGATCGTCGAGTCAAGGCGGCCGTGGTTGAGCACTTCGAGCACGACGCAACGCGAACCGTAGCCGGCAAAACACAGGGATAGACTGAGCGAGCAGAGGAGGAGAAGGACATGTGTTCTGTGGAGAAGGAGGATGGTCACCTTGGCAACGCTTTTCGCGCTGCCTGCAACCGCCGGGCGGTTCAGCCCTAGTGGAACGTGTTTGGAGACTGAGTGGTTTCGCGCGGCACGCTTCGCTCTTTGGTTACTCCTCAATGGTATATCCGTTCATCGCGCGCGCCTACTGTACTGCGTTACTCCTTTTTCGGGTAATTTTGCCTTAGAGTGTATGGGTCTTATGAACAATGCGTTGGAGAGCTGCCGAAATTTGGATCATCTAGAGTTCTTTTTGTGCCCCTATTTCAATTTATATCGGCCGCAAACGTATTCACCTTTATTGAAAATGTGACCACCACAGTCGGGATTGAACCCATGGATTTGGGGTCAGAAACCCAACACCGTAATGGATTGAGTTTTTAGAGCTGCAAGAACATACTGTGGGTTTAGTATTTTTAGCCTCAGGTGCGGCGGCCCTTCATCTCGTCTATAGGCGGTCACACGGATAGGGGCCATGGAGATATTTCTCTCTTGTTGCCTCATTAGGGGGCCGAATCGTTCCCCTTATATTGACTTAATGGGGGTGGGGGGTGCTGTTATGAACCTTAGTCCCTCCTCTTCCTGAAGAAGCACCCTGCGCACGCCTATCTTCTCGCCCGCGCATTTCGTAGTGCTTCAAAAGGACTGGATATTTTCACCGTTAGATTTACTTCGAAACAGCACAGCTATTAGGCAAGGCAGGTATCGAACTATTCTCTTATTAAAGAACATAAAACCAAGGTTCCAACAAGATCATCTAGCACATTTGATGATTTCGACAAACGCGAGACAAAATTGAGTCCACAATGCCACCCAATGTTATAGCCTTTGTTAATACTGACTACCTTAATCAGTGAGAATGTTAAGTTTTGGTATTGATAAAATCAGTTATGTCGCGAAAGTAGTAGCTCTATTAGAACAAGTGCCTTTAAGTCCTCAAATGATCACTTTAGTTTCGCCTTGAAGAGTATAGCACGAAAGTGTTATAGAGCCCCGTTCTCCTCACTATCTTAGGCACTAGCCTTTTTTGATTCTGGATCGACACTTCAACCGTGCTACAAAAAGAAACTAGGAGATAGCAGCGTGCGCAGTAATGGGAGCTTCAAGCGATCCTAGAATGCCTACCGCAAGTACAGTTGCAAACTTCCCTTTCAGCAGTAATTCTTTGCCAATTGATATCCACTAGGCACCCGTAGGTCAGCACACGTACCTGCACACTAAGTTTGTGCTGGTGGTAAGTGATCACTTTTGGCACGTAATATTTCATGTGTTGAGCAACTGCTTGGAGTACATGGCATTTTTACCGAATACTGTTTTCCGCGACAGCTTTAAGGAATGACATGGCTCTGTGGTAGAATGCATGTTCGCTAGGCAGACCTGAACTTTATTTCCTCTAGAACCAGTGTTTTCTTTATTTATTTGTTTGCATTTATCTTGAGTTTTCGCTCATGGGCACAATCTACGTCTCCGTCAACAACAATGACGCCAGCATCGATGCCTATTCGGTAAAGCCTGTGATATAAGCTTTTATTGCTGTCACTTTAAAATTTGCTTGTTTTTATGAGACCTGTTCACATGTTTTTGCCTGTATTTTCCCACTATTGTTCTCTTTTACTTATATGAGCACTCTTTTTTCTGTGCTGACTTTCGACTCAAAAGTTAACACTATAAACTTTTGCCGATAACGTGATATATTACAATGACTTGGAAGTATTGAAGTGTTACTGTGGTCACAAGCCTGTTCTGCTCGCATTTTGTCCAAAAAGCACATGCCCTGATAGTTCGGTTTAAGTAAAACTGAATTTTGCCGTAGAATAGGTTTAGAACAATTCAAGACGTTCAACGGGATCTTCAGGAAAACAGGAAATTATTAAAATGACACACAAGAATTGAAACTTTCTGTGAAAGTTGAAGGAGAAAACAAAGGTAACTTGTTTTCAGATCGGAAGACGAAATGTCAGTAACAAGGGACAACGTGGGGAAAAGAAAATAAACTCAGTGCATTGAGCGACTGAAGCCAGGCAATTATTTTTTTGGCTTTGATGGAGCACGAAAACAAGGCGAACAATGCGATACGGTAAGGACTTTTCAATAAAATAATAACAGAAAAAATGTCGGAATTCGGTTTGTTGTTGGAGCTGCCAAAAAGTCAACGAACGGTGCAATCCAAATGGTTCATCGGAAGGCATCAATTTATGGAACGAAATTTTCTCTGTTAGTGTTATTGAGAAAAAAAAATTGGCCCCGAATCTGCATGTTACACTGAAAACGTCGTATAAGGACGATGGTCTTGCGTCTAGAGAGAGTGAACAAAACGTTTATTTGATGTTCTGCGCAGGACGACCAGGAGAATGGTATTCTGGAAGCGCTGCGTTAGAGTGCCTCAAGCATGTAGCGGAGACGAACGAGTGCATCGAAGCTCGTTAGACACGAGCGCCATCTGGCAGTTATCTTCGAAAACGAAGGCATGCACGCCCACCGAGAAAGATGCGTTCCTGTCTCGGAGGTCATAAGGTGTAGAACGCAAAGCGACGGGCAGGTGCCACCACCATGTCATCTTAGCAAAGCGTTGCAAAACACTTACCTTTTTCAGCATCGCGTTGCACTGTCAGCGCAGCGTGATAAACGCTACGGTCCTTAGAGTTACTTGTGTGTGTCTTCTCTAGCATAAAGGCACACATAGAAAACATTGACGTGTTGTTATAGTGCCTCAAATATGCGAAACAAGTGTTTTTTTTTAATTGATGATCACACAAACATGGACGCTGAAGCTTGAGCAATAATGGTGGGCGCTGCGAATGGGGTCGGCAGTATGGTGCCCTTTGACGTGTCGTTAAGAGCATACAGACAAATGTACAGACAGACAGACCAAAATTTTTCCGTCGAAGGTCCCCAAGAAAGGCTGTAGTCTTTTAAAAAAATTGGCAGCATATCCACGGAGTGAATAACGCATAGTGAGCCGAAGCATTCGTCCGTCCATTCGTTCTTGCTTCCATTCGTCCATGCGTCCGTCTGTGTGACCTGCCATGCGTCAATCCACCCGTCCGTGCGTGCGTCTGTTCGTGCGTCCGTCCCTGCGTTCGTCCATGCATCTGCCCCTGCGTCCGTTCATGCGTCCATCATGCATGTGTGTGTCCATTCGTCCATCTATTAAACACTTTAAGTACCACCATCTCGCCTCTTTTCATCATATATTCCCCATACAGAAGCACCGCCTTCCAGCGGACATTCCAAGGACTAAACGAGAGGTGGCACACGCACACTTTCTTACGGCTTGCGCTTCGGGTCTACTTCCCACCTTTAATAACCTCGAGTTTATGATATATACTAGTTCACTGTATTCATGGCACGGTGGTCATTGTAGTAGCCAACGTATGACGCGCCGTACTGACGTCACAGGCTACGTCATGTGCCTGTACTTATATTGGCATGCGAGCCGCTGGCTTAGCACATTAAACCTTCGCCACCAACTGAGTCTAGCGTCACCTTGCTCACCGGCTACAACAGATGGCGACGAGGATGGGATAGGCTGTACCGAACGCCGGGGGCGGATCCTGTGAGCAACGACAGTTGGAAGGCGAAAGGCAAGGTATGGCGAAGATGTGGGAATTTGACGCCTTCATAGAAGAAGGAGACGAAGATTTCGTTTCGTATGTAGAACGGTTTGCGCACTATTGCAAAGTAGCCGGCGTACAAGACGAAGAACTTAAAAAGGCAGCCTTCATCTCTGCCATAGGAAAGAAAGCGTTCAAGACGCTCAAGGACCTTCTTCTACCTGCAGAACCTGAAGAGAAGACGTTCGAGGACTTGGTGAAAGTGCTGAGTGGCCACTACGAGCCTTCAAGTCAGGTCATTGCGGAGCGTTTCAAATTCAACAGGAGGTACCAAGGAGAAGGGGAGTCCGTCGCGGCATTTGCAGTCACGCTGAAGCACATGGCAGCCAAGTGCAACTACGGTACGTTTCTCGACGACGCTTTACGGGACCGGTCCGTCGCTGGGTTACGGAATTCCACCAATCAGACGGGTTTACTGAAGAGGAAGGAACTGACGTTCGAATCGGCCTGCGTTTTTGCTAAGAGCGTTGAGCTAGCGGAGCGGGAGTCAAGGGGATTCCGACCAACTGCGAATACGGATGCCGACATTCACGCTCTAAAGAAGACGGGGAAGGAACCGGAGTTTGCCAGCAAGCCGAAGAACAGTTCAATGCAAAGCTGCTATCGATGCGGTCAAGAGCATGACGCCCGTTGCTGCCGTTATCGTAAATTCAAATGCCATCTTTGCAAGCGCGTGGGACATTTGGCGCGCATGTGCAGATGCAAGCAACCGGTGCCTGGCACCGTCCACAACGTGAGTGACGAAGTGAGCGGAGGCACAGAGCTGCTGCTGCACGGTGTGTATCTGGCGGGCACGGAACAACCATATGAAGTTGAAGTACAGATAGCCGGCCAGCTTGTGAAGATGCAAGTAGATACGGGCGCAGCCGTATCACTCGTTCCTGATTGCGTTTACCGGCAGCTAAAGCAGCCGCCGCAGCTTGCGAAGTGCAAGATGAAGCTCAAGACTTACGGCGGAGCGACGCTACAAGTGAAAGGCCAAGTGGAGGTCTTGGTCGATTATAAGGGACAGCGGAAAGTCCTGCCAATCATCGTGGTACCAGGAGAGAAGCCAGCACTTTTAGGCCGCGACTGGATTGCGAACCTCGGAATGGACCTAAAAAGCATTCGTTTCTCGACACAACGTTTCTCGCACAACCGTTTCTCGACAGCATCCTGTCAAGGTATGCCAGCGTTTTTTCACCTGGTTTAGGGTTGATAAAGGGTTACCAAGCAAAACTGGTGCTTAAGGAAGGAAGCATGCCAGTCTTTTGCAAGGCGCGGTCTGTGCCGTATGCCATTCGTGAACCGGTCGAGCATGAGCTAGACAACTTGCAAAAAGAGGGCGTACTGGTGCCCGTAACCCGCAGCGACTGGGCCACGCCGCTGGTAGCTGTTCACAAGCCAGAGGGCACAGTACGATTGGGCGGAGACTATAAATTGACGGTGGATCCATGTGTGAAGACCGACCATTACCCACTGCCCGAGGTGGAGGATTTGTTCACGACACTGGCTGGGGGCAAGGTTTTCACCGTTCTGGACCTTTCGACGGCATATCAGCAAATCGAGGTGTACCCTGACTCACGACCTTTGCTGACTATAAACTCTCACATGGGGTTGTTCCAGTATGTTCGAATGCCGTACGGAATCTCAAGTGCACCTGTAGTTTTCCAGGCAATCATGAACGAGCTGTTGAAAGGACTACCAGGAGTGGTATGCTACCTCGACGACGTCCTCATCACGGGAGCATCGCATACCGAATGCCTGGCCCGGATGGAAGCAGTCCTGCAGGTTTTCATGGACCACGGCGTAAAAGTGAGAAAGGAAAAATGGAACTTTTTCTTGAATTCTGTCAAATATCTTGGGCATATCATTGACGAAAATGGTGTGCACCCGTGCGTCGAGAAGGTTGAAGCCATAAGGGAAGCACCCACACCTAAGAACATCAGTGAGCTTAAAGCGTACCTCGGCATGATAACTTTTTACTACAAGTTCATGCCAAACATGTCTTCGAGGCTAAAGCCTTTGTATGCACTGCTTCAGAAGGATAAGAAGTGGGTCTGGTCCGCAAAAGAAGAAAAAGCCTTCGCGGAGAGTAAGAGCCTCCTTACGCTTAGCGAGCGTGCTAACATTCTATGACCCAAAGAAGCCTCTTGGATTAGTCTGCGACGCCTCTCCTTACGGGGTTGGCGCAGTGTTGTTTCATGTCGTGAACGGGGAAGAAAGGCCGATAGCATAAGCGTCACGCACTTTGAGCAAGCCCGAAAGTGGCTACGCACACATAGAAAAGGAAGCGTTGGCTGTGATTTTCGGAATCAAACGGTTTCACAAGTATCTTTACGGCCGTGAATTCACCATTTATTCCGACCACCTTCCCCTGGAGGGACTGCTGGGGCAAACAAAGCCAATTAAGCAAATGGCAGCAGCACGCATGCAGCGCTGGATGCTAGTGCTAGCTGCATATCGCTACAAATGGGTGTACAGAAAGGGAGCCCAAGTAGCAAACGCGGACGCGTTATCGCGATTACCGCTTCCGAACGACACCGACGAAAGCGACTACGTTCACTTCTTTTCAGCAGTAGAAGCCGTACCACTATCTGCGAAAAGGATCAGTGACGAAACCCAAAAAGATTCAGTTTTGTCTAAGGTACTGATGTATGTTTTGAATGGATGGCCATCGTACGTGTCAGAAGACAACGTAGCCCCATTCTTCTCGCGGAAAGACGAACTGTCGGTAGACTGTGGTTGCATAATATGGGGAACTCGGGTTGTTATACCTGAAGCGGTACAATCTGAAGTCTTATCGCTTTTGCATGAAGGGCATCCAGGCATCACTCGCATGAAAATGCTATCAAGAAGCCATGTGTGGTGGCCAAAGTTGTGCGATCGCATTGAAAAAACTGGGAGAGGTTGTTCAACTTGCCAACTAACGCAGAACTCTGCGCCCCACGTGCCGATGTTATCGTGGGGATGGCCAACGTGCAGGTGACAGAGAGTTCACCTGGATTTTGCCTACTACAAGAACGACTGGTTTTTAGTGCTTGTCGATGCGCACTCCAAGTGGGTGGATGTTCTGCACATGAAGTCCACTACAGCACAGGCGACAGTTGAAAAACTCCGCACTGTTTTTGCTGCATTTGGGCTTCCCGAGAGAATTGTGACTGACAATGGGCCGCAATTTGTGTCTGCTGAAATCACAAATTTTCTCAACTTCAATGCAGTGCAGCACACCAAGACACCACCTTACCACCAAGCTTCAAATGGCATGGCGGAGAGGCTTGTCCAGACCGTCAAGCGAAGCGTCAGCAAAGAGCTACGGGATGAGCAGAACACGGGAGTGACTCGGACGATGCAACATCGGGTCGACCAGCTCCTGTTCACCTACCGAAACACACCGTGTTCGACGACCGGTAAGACGCTAGCCGAGCTGTTTCTCTCATGGAGGCCACGCACGAGGCTGAGCATCTTGCATTCGGAGCTAGCGAAACGTGCCGAAGCAAATATAGCTCAAAGACAGGGTCAGGAGACCCATACTTAATGGAGGGAGTTCGAGGTTGGCGACAATGTTCGTGTGCGAGGAAACCGACCGAGTGATCCACGTTGGTTGGAAGGAACAGTTGTGCGATGAGTTAGCAAAGGAACATACTTAGTCCGAATCGAAGACCACGAGCGCTTTCTGCATGCGGACGATATTGTTCCTAACACATGCCTTGCTCCTCTTCCCAGAAGCGTGTGGATTCCTGAGCAAACCCGCGTGGCACAGCCGGGTTCCACTCCGTCACAAAGTGACAGCGACACCGCATTGCCGCCAGACGGGCCTGCACCAGAGCAACGACTTCCGCCACCTGACCGAGCCAGCGTGACGGAACTGCCATCACAGCAGGCGCCTGAAGCCAGCTCCCAAGAAAACGTCGCGCCACCTGAATTGCGACGAAGCACAAGAATTCGAAAGCCTCCCGAACGTTTTGGCTATGCTGCTAAATAAAGGGGGAAGAGATGTAGTAGCCAACGTATGACGCGCCGTGCTGACGTCACAGGCTACGTCATGTGCCTGTACTTATATTGGCATGCGAGCCGCTTGCTTAGCACATTAAACCTTCGCCACCAATTGAGTCCGGCGTCGCCTTGCTCGGCGGCTAGAAAACGGTGGTCATACGCTCGCTAATCCTTTCTAAAACCTAGGAGGTTACGCCTAGAGAGTATAACGTAGCAACCTTTTCCTGTCAGATAGGGCTCAGTGTACATGCCAATGGCTGGTAATGGGAAATGAGAGACAGGAAAATTCAGCTTTTACTTTCTTACGGCTTGCGCTTCGTATCTACTTCCCACCTTTAACCACCTCGTGTTCATGGTGTATACTAGTTCACTGTATTCATTGCACTGCGGCTGAACGCTCACTAGACCTTTCTAAAACTAAGGAGGTTACACCCGGTGAGTATAACGTAGCAACCCTTTCTTGTCACATAGTGCTCAATGTACATGCCAATAGCTGCTAATGGGGATCGCAGCGTGCGCGTTAACTAACAGCCGAATGCTGCTGTCTCTCATTCTCCATTATAGCCGCTACTGACATGTACATTGAGCACTATTTTTTATTGTTCAACAACACACAGAAGAAATCTCCCACAAGCACCACCTTGAAGGTCAAAATGTAATAATTAATTACACACTACAACGATTACGAGGGACGAATGGTTGTCGCTATAAGGAGCTTCGCCCTGTTACAACTGCGAGTCCACTGCGAAGGTCTATGCCTCTCAAAAAGGCAACCTGCGTCAAGGCCAGCGCGCGATTCCGCCTGACGCGAACAAAAACTCAACGGCGTCATCAAGCAGGCGCGCCGGTCTGTCGCGCCATGCACTTCGAGCTGCCTCAGCCCACGTGCCCGTTAAAGCAGTCAGCGCTTTCCATACTGGCGTCTTGCGCAATGCGTGGCGACGTCACTCGTCCTTGGCTGCAACCACGCGCCGCGACTCCGAATTTGATGAGCGTGACGCGGCCCATTGGAGGAGGAGCCCCATTGGAGGATTCTGACCTTGTGACCAGCGCAACTTCTGGTTGGACATTTGGTCACTCAAAGGATCCACCCAGTGCCTTAAAAACAGCCCTGCGGCGCGTCGCCAGCAGTAGACCTATGTGTCAGAGAAGAGAGCTCGGCTCTTCGAGTCTCTAAGCTGTCGGCTCCAGTGCCGAATTTGTAACGCCTCTGTTTCCATGCTGTACACAAACCTTGCTTTGACTCACCGTCGCCTCGTCCGCTCGTCTATCAGCTCTGCGCAGAAGCAGTCGCGAGCTGAGAAACCTACGCTACCATACAGCTGGTGACCATGTAGGCGGAGATATGGGCAGTGGCGCCTTCGGGACTATGTTAGCGTCTCGCCCAGCTTTTGTAACAGTAATTGGCAGCTGCGGGATTGGCCGGCGTCAGCGACATTGATGCGGTGAGTGCCTGTTTTCCCCTCAGTTCACCAGACTACTTTAGCTCAGGTTATAGTAGTTTAGAGAAGGGCTGTGTGAAGTATTGGTGAGTGAGCTTTGATCGTTTCAAGCCAAGTCAGAGTCCTTTGAAACCAAAGTTAATGCTAAGGGTGTAAACACGGGAGTGTTGAAAAATGCTTGCGCGTCTTGCTAGTAGACTTATAGTGGGTACGGCAAGTAGATTCTTAACAGCGGCAAACAGCAAGAGGCTAGTGTGAACGACGGAGGACCTTAAAGTGAAGGATCTTATCGAAATTTGTGAGGAACTCGGCACTACTTTAAGCCGTTCGAAACAAAAGCAAGCGATCCTTAACTTCATGAAGGATGAAGGAGTGTCGGCTGAGGAAGTCAGTGAAGCCTGGGTGGATGTCAAAGCACGCCGCGAGGAGGCTGAAAGGCGAGAAGTAGAAGTTCGCGAACGCGAAGAAGCTGAAAGGCGAGTAGTTCGAGAACGTGAAGAAGCTGAAAGGCTCGATCGTCGCGAGCGTGAAGAAGCTGAGAGACGGGAGCACCTCGAATTGAAACGAAAAGAGTTGGCAATCCTACAGTGTTCGCAGGCGCCTAGCGTAGCTTCTGCGACAGTTCAGGTCAGCGGTCAGAGAATTCGCGACCAACTGCCACCGTTCGTAGTAGGCGATGACATGGCGAAGTATCTCGTCAAGTTTGAACACGTCTGGGAGCGAAATGCTTTGGAGCGGTCTCTTTGGGCGCAGAACCTGTTAGCTCTTCTTCCCGGCGAAGTGTCCGACGCGATAACTTGCTTGTCGAGGGAAGCGTTTGAGAGCTATGACGAGATTAAGGAAGTGCTCTTGAGACGTTACAAGTTGTCACCCGAGGCTTTCAGGCAAAGGTTCCGGTTTGCTAAAAGGGGGAACGAGTCACACGTTGACTTGGCGTTTCGTATTAAAGCCGATTTAATTGAATAGTTCAAGGGTGAAGGTGTTTATGACGATCGCGATAAAGTGGTAGAATGCATTGCGTTGAAGCAATTCTACCACTGCCTCAAGAGGATGTAAAGCTTTGGCTGCAGGACAAACTTGGTGAACTACAGCTAAAAAATGCAGGAGAGTTATCTGAGGAGTATTATACTCGCCGAAAATTGCATAGCAGGTCAGCGCGCGTTGAAAAGGATCAAAGGAAAGAGGGCGTTTCAAAGAAACCTGATCAACGGAAGCAGCTACTCTGCTACAACTGCAGAAAGGAAGCGCACATCGAGAAAAACTGTAAGCAAACGTTTGAAACTATCCGAGAATTAGAAAACAAGTGGAAAGCCACATGATGGCTGCACAAGTGTTGTCGAAGGAGTACTACGACCAATCGGCAAACAAGCGAACCTTTGAAGTTGGTAGTCAGGTAATGCTGCTGCGGCCGTCCAAAAAGAACAAGCTTGAGGTTCATTGGGATGGGCCCGCCAAAGTAATATTGAAGCTTTCTGATACCACTTATGAAGTGAAATCGGGAATGCGGCCGAACAAAATTTATCACAGTAGCTTTATGAAACCATACGTTCAACGTCGAGCGGTTGTAAATATGCTGTTGAATGCTTCAGAGGCAGAGGGAGCAGAAATTTTGAGTTCTAGTGATGTAATCGAAAGGGGATTGGAAGTAATCTTGGAGCAGTTGAACCTAGAGCCTAGGTTAAGTGAAGTCCAAAAGGAGGACCTGAGAAGGATTGTTTCCGAGTTTGAATACGTGTTTTCGGACCGTCTCGAAAACACGACGGTGATTGAACACGATATCGAGCTAACTTGTGAGGAGCTAATCCCTAGCAAGCCGTGTCATTGTTCCCCTGTGCAAGAGCAGATCATGAAAGAGGAGATAGAAAAAATGCTGGAGTTGGGAGTCATATTACTTGGCGAGAGTGACTATACATCACCTTTGATATTGGTTCAAGGACAAGGAAAATATCCGAGGCCATGCATCGATTATCGGCGTCTTAACGCCATAGCTCGACACAAAACTTACCCGATACCGAACCTAGAGGAGAGGGTAGAAAATGTGTCACAGTTCAGCTATATTTTCACGTTAAACCGCGTGCAAGGGTATTGGCAAGTCCCCCTTACGGACCATGCTAGCCACTATGCCATATTTGTTTTCCATTTGGAACGTATCATCCACATAAGCGAAACTTTGGATTGAAAAATGCGCCCTTTTGTTTTTCAGGCTTAATGGACCGCGTTCCTAAAGGCCTCTCTGAGTGCGCTCTGCCGTATCTTGAGAATGTCGTCATCTTTTCATACAACTCTGGAAAGAACATGTCGAGCATTCACGTGTCGTGCTGAACAGGTTGAGAGAAGCTGGTCTTACCGTGAAACCTACTAAATTTCCCCTAGAAGTGGCGAGGTGTCTTATCTGGGACACGTAGTGGGGCGTAGACATTCAAAAATTAAGGTAGCCGCCGTCGCGAACTATCCCCGACCAACCACAAAATATGAGATAAGGACATTCTTGGGCCTAGCTGGATACTATCAGCATTACGTGCAAAACTACTCTAGCATTGCCAGCCCTCTAACTGACGCACTTGGAAAGTTCGAGCCAGTTAAAGTAATATGGGACTCAAAAAAGAAGAATGCGTTTTGCTAGCTGAAACAGGCCCTAAGCGAAAAGCCTGTTCTCATGGCACCCGATTTCTCTAAGAGATTTGTGATTCAATGCGACGCGAGTGATCGCGGCATGGGAGCTATATTGTGCCAGGAAGACAGTGCTGGTAGCGAAAGGCAAGTTTTGTATTTAAGTCGAAAATTCAGCGACAGGGAAGAGGCATGCAGTACCTCTGAAAATAAATGCGCATTCCTCGTGTGGGCCGTTCAAAAGCTAGCCTGTTATGTCTCCGGTTCGAGGTTAGTGGTTGAAACGCACCACTGTCCTCTAACCTGGTTAAATAACATATCGCCCCTAAAGTAGCCGGTTACTGAGGTAGAGCATGATACTCTAACAGCACAAATTTGACGTTCGCTACAAAAAAGGAAAGCTAGACGCTAATGCAGACGCATTGAGCCTTGCGTTTTAGTTAGTACCTTCTCCACTTTCTGGTTTCTTGCTGGCGAGTTTGGGCAAAAATTTTGTCCTCAACACGGCCTTAGCTGAGCGCTCCCGTCAAGGGTGATTTCAAGGGGTCGAAATTATGTTGTATTCTATTTCGTTACGTTGTTGTACGTGTGAAAATATGAGTTCTCATTTTAAGAGTCTTGTGTCCCACATGTGCCTCTTGATGTAGAGAGAACGAAATTCCGATACATACTTAGCTAGGTACATGTTGTACTTTACTTGGTCTGGTTTTCTGTCAGGTGACCGAGGGTACTTGTTTGTGTCGTGTGTTGTTTGTTGTCGAGCCGTTCTTGACAAGTTGCAGAACGATCGACAAGTGCTGAGACCATACATAGTC